CAGTATGCGTGTATGGTCCTTGCAGATTCGTAAAGCCATGCCCCTGGGGAAACGGCTTTACCAGCCAGGGTACAACGCTATGTGTTGTTCCTTCTGCCTTTAGTCTTGTGCGCTCCCTCTTTTCCAAGATTGTTAGGTCAGCATCTTCCCATCCTCTTCACGAGGCTTTTTCATACATTTATAGTACAATTAGGTTCTTTTGTCAGTCTGTATTACATCTCTGACCTAAATAACTTTTCTAAAAGTTCACATACATAAAAGTTCATTTTTTTTCTGTAAAGTTCTATGGGTTTTTAGACAGGTATTTTTATTGATTTATTGTTTTGACAAAGTATTGTGTCATGTATTCACGGTTACAGCACCATACAGAATAGTTTCACTGCCCTAAAACTCCCCTGTGCTTCGCTTATTCAGCCTCCCTCTCCCCCCAACCCCCTGGCAACCACTGATCTGTTTACCACCTTTGTAATTTTGCCTTTTCCATAGCTGAGGCCATTTTGTTTTATCAGAGGAAAATGGGTCCCCTAACTCCTCCCAGTGGGTGATGTACACAGATGTCTGCTGGTGGAAACCAGACAGAAAAAAGTGGTTTGGGGTCTCATTGTTCAGCTTGAAGGTTTCACTTTGTGGCCCTATGTGCAGTCTTGTGCCTCACTCCACTTCCCACGGTCCCAATGGTCCCAAGTCCAGAGGCTGTTGGGTTCAATCTCCCCAGAGAATAAACACAGTCTCCTGTCGGGGTGGGAGTGGTGGTCACTCATTGGTCTAGGTTGAGGGGCACGCTTGGGGCCTGCCTGCTTTTTTATGGAGACTTTTGGCCAATCTCCTGTTTTCGCTCTGTGTTGCCTCTCGCTTTTCAGCGGTAGCTGGGCCTCCAGTTCCTGAACCCTTCTAGAGTTACAGATATCGCTGCTCACTCCTCAGCAGATCACCGTCTGCAGGCACGCAGGCTTCCGTGCTTCCTCTGCTGCGCCACTCCTTTCCTGCTGGCTTTCTGGCTTCCAAGATTACGTTCAGATCTCTTAACCTCTGTTTCATTTCTCTCTGTCTTAGTGGGGTTATGCCACGTTTAACCAGAAGTTTCATTTGCTTTTAGAAATTTGCTATTTGGTGCAATTGTAATTACTCTGAAAAAGGTTAAAAAGCCACATTTCCTGGTATGATTTGTCTTTCCTTTATATGTATTTTGGCAATACAGCTCTTGATGTATAACAGAGTTGAGATTTTTTAAAAAGTGTGCAATTGATATCCCCATGAGTATTCCCTGTCTTTTCATGGGCCAGGAATAAACCTATTAAAAAAATGATCAGGCCCTGACTGGTTTGGCTCAGTGGATAGAGCGTTGGCTTGCGGACTGAAGAGTCCTGGTTCGATTCCAGTCAAGGGCATGTACCTTGGTTGAGGGCACATCCCCAGTGAGGGGTGTGCAGGAGGCAGCTGATCAATGTTTCTCTCTCATAGATGTTTCTAACTCTCTATCCCTTTCCCTTCCTCTCTGTAAAAAATCAATAAAATATATATTTTTTAAATGATCAGTGCCATTCTTTTGAAACTTGCTGAGGTTAACATTTTTGCCTCATATGTGGTTGCTCCTATGCAGACATAATAGTGACTGTCACCGTTGGCAGGATTTGGAAGTTTCTACACTGACTTTTATGGAAGTTAGCTTTCTGACAATGTGTTTCTCATTCTTTTTTTTAAAAAAAAAATATTTTTATTGATTTCAGAGAGGAAGAGGAGGGAGAGAGAGAAATATCAGTGATGAAAAAGAATCATTGATCAGCTGCCTCCTGCACGCCCCCTACTGGGGACCGAGCCCATAACCTGGGCATGTGCCCTGCCGGGGAACTGAACCATGACCTCCTGGTTCATAGGTCAACACTCAACCACTGAGCCACGCCGGCCAGGTTGTGTTTCTCATTCTTTTGCAGCAAGTGGAATACCAGCAGGTCAGACGGACTTCTGGACAACTTAACTTTGGACTTATCCTTAAAAAGAATATGGGGCAGAACCCAAGCTCTATTTTCTTTAGTAAAGGAAAATAATATTGATAAAATTCCTAACTGTTCCTATAATTCCAGTAAATGGAACCGGTACCTCTAATGGTTTATGGTATGTTTTACTGAATGCACTAAAGGGCTGCATGCATTTTCTTATCCTAAAGGACCAAATGGGATGAGAAGAAGTAGCAATTTTAATAAGGGGTCCCTAGCCCACCATGGACCATATGCCTTCCCTTATGTGGTCTCATTTACTCTCATTCTCCCACTGAGGTCGCTGTGAACCCTGTACAGGTATGAACTTGGGCCTTCTACTTCAAGGATGGCAGAGCCAAAGTGGGAGCCCAGGCCTGTGCACTTGCCACTGTGCTGCCAGCTTTGGGCTGGGTGTCCAGCTTAGGTCCCATGGTTCTCCTGGCTTTGCATCAAGGTCACTGAGAGTCAGCAGCATGGTGATTAAGCCAGGACTCTGGAGCCAGACCACCCACATTTAAGTATCTATTCCATCATGTTGGGCTCTGTGCCTTAGTTCCTCCATTTGTGAAATGGAGAGAATGATAGTTGCTGTGGGAATTAATATTAGAAACCACCTAGTAAACACTCTCCAAGTGTTTGCTAAATAGGTAAATTCTATTGGACTTTTCGTCCTCTCACCTGCTCAGTGCTTAAAGGAAAGCAAATATTTTCTTTAGACCTTGCCAAAGGCGGGGCTGCACGGACACAGACGTGTGTAGAGGTGAGAGCATTTCCGTTCTTACATGGAAGATTTGGGGCAGATGGGTAACACACTTTAACTGAAATGTCACAGTGCCACCCATCTGAATCCAAGATATGCTTCCACCCAGATATCCTTGAGTAGCTACATAGAGCTTCAATAAGGGTGAGAATAATCAGACAAGAAATGGTAAAATAATTGAATTAGTTTTGTCTTTATAAAATGAGGGGGCAGAGCTGGATGACTCCAAATGCATGTGATCGTTATAATCACTAAGCGTCCTGTTTTAGTAGGCTACCTCGGACCTATATAATGTAGATGCCGAAGATGCCAATCTGCTTAGAAAAAAAGCGGAATGAGGTAACAGATAAAAATCAGCTGTATTGTTTGCCACTAAAATTCCAAAGGCTACCCACCTGGCTCACACACGCCGCCAGGAGATGGCAGATACCTTTGGTTATGCTCTGTTTCCTTTTGTCCACTGGCCAGTGTAACCTGTTGTCCCTGTATTGAATAAATCAATGGCAGTTGGTGCCATACTTAAAAAAATAAGTATTTATTGATTTTAGAGAGAGGGAGGAAGGGAGGGAGAGAGAGAGAGAGAGAGAGGAGAGAAACACCGATGTGAGAGAGTAACCGATCAGTTGCCTCCTGCATGCACCCCAACTGGGGATCCAACCTGCAACCTTGGCCTGTTTCTGCCCTTTTTTTTTTCTTGTAGTTTTTTTTCTTTATTGATTAAGGTATTACATATGTGTCCTTATCCCCCCCCATTGTCCTCCCCCCACTCATGCCCTCACCCCCCTGGTGTCTGTGTTCATTGGTTAGGCTTCTATGCATGCATACAAGTCCTTTGGCTGATCTTCTTCCCTTCTATTGAGGAGGAGAGGTGAGGTAGGATTGAGGTGGAGGTGCCCAGCTGATCTTCATTAATATCTGGTCAGTTGCTAATTTTAGGAATCGGTTCATTAGTATTTGGGAAGTATGGTCAATAATTCCTTTTTTAAAAAAAATATATTTTATTGATTTTTTACAGAGAGGAAAGGAGAGGGACAGAGTTAGAAACATCGATCAGCTGGCTCCTGCACACTCCCCACTGGGGATGTGCCCGCAACCAAGGTACATGCCCTTGACCAGAATCAAACCTGGGACCCTTTAGTCCGCAGGCCGACGCTCTATCCACTGAGCCAAACTGGTTAGGGCAAGAATTTCTTCATTTGCCTTTTTCCACTGGAAAGACCCTGTTGAAATGATATGTCTGTACTTAGTTTCCCAAGTTGTCGGAATTCTGCTGCTACTAATAGTTATCAGTGGAGCATTTATTGCCAGGAGAAAGAACAGAGGCAATATTACGTATTAGTTAAGAGTTGAGCTCTGGTATCGAACTCCTGGGTTTAAGTCCTCACTGTATCATTTACAGGCTTTGCGATTTTGAGTAAGTCACTTCACCTTTTGGGGCCTCAGTGTTCCCATCTAAAAAATGTGAATAGTGAGTGCTCCATCCATGTTAGCTGCTGTTAACACCATTGTTGTTGTTAATGATTTTGTTAGCTGACCAATGACTGGGACCAGTGCAAGGCCCCTTTCTGGGTCTTTCTCAAGTATGATGAGTGAGATGACCAAATAGCTTCATGCTATGAGACGCTTCCCATCTCTAACTTCAGTTTTTCTCTCTGGCAGCAGCTTCCCAGTGAGTTCTGATGACTTCAGTTCATTCTTTCTCTTGGATATTTTTTTCTGGGTCACTACCTGTGAAATCAAGGTTTTCTGGCTTAACATTGAGAATAGATAAACCTTAATCGATTATTTTCCATTACCATGGACCATTAGCTAAGAGATCTGATCTATCACAAATGGAAGAATTTGTTCCAACATTCTTGAAATCTCCCTGCCAGGACAATGTTTAATATAAATATTTTATTGTTGATGAAGATAGTGCTACAAAGGAGCAGAGAGTCACAGAGTTACACTGCGGGGTTGAGGAGAAAAGGGCTGAAGAGGAAAGCCTGAGTGTGGCCATTTGCAGAGCAGCTCAGCTGTTGAAAGTTGGTATTAACACCCAACTTCTCAGAAGCTTTTCCTCCGCCGAGGGGGCTTGGTGGAGCACTGGCTTGAGAGTGTTGCTTAGCAACAAGATGTCAGAGTCAAGCAACCCATCCCCTGCCTCCCTTCCACCAGCCCTCAGCTGCCACCCTGAGGCTCCTATTAGACAATCAAGTGTGCTGGGAGGGAGGGACCAGAGAGAGGGGGCAAAGTTTAGTCATTGAACGAAGCAGCCTGGAAGTATTTAATCTGTAGACCCAGTTCCCCAGCGCCTCCAGCCTGAACTGGAAGTGGGCAGCACTCTGGAGACCAGCGAGCCAACTGCACAGAAGTCTCTGACCACCTCAGGAGAAACCACACTTGGGGAAAATGTTTGCGGTGCACTTGGTGGCGTTTTACTTCAGCAAGCTGAAGGAGGATCAGATCAAGAAGGTAAGGACTCAGGAGGCTGAGAGCGGTCTCATTCTGCACCGACAACACGGATCCCTGCCTACACCTGCGGGGATTGAGAGCTTATTAGAAAACGGGGAGCACAGGACCAGTGAAACACTCATGGAGGGGGAAGAGGACATTGCCTGTTGTCCGGAGCCTGGATCTCACTCAGAGCTTCCTGGCGGATATCGGATGGGAAGGGGATGAGGAGAGAGTCTTCAGAACCCGTCTAAGTGGTTTGGGGTAAGGGGTGTATGAGAGGCGAGGGTAAAAGGAAAGGAGAGTCGTTCTTAAAGAAACGTTGAGAACTTGTAATTTACATTATTTTTTATGTGCTTGAAAGAATAGGAGGAAGGCACCAGAGGGATGGGAGGGTTAATGTACAGTCATCGAAATACTTATTTGCATGTGCTGTTTGCCAGTGGTAGACTACTAACGGCGTGCATTGTTTTGCCACTTTGTCCAAGAAACCTGCCTACAAAATTCATTCCGAGGCTCACCTGGGGGCCATCAGCATTTTCCCAGCTGGCACGAACTCAGCTTGTCACTCTGGCCACTCAGCCTGTCACTCTGGCCACGCCAGCCACCAGCTCAAGGAAGTCCTCCCCGGCAGGTGGACTTAGCCAAGGTCACCCAGGTATTTAAGGTGGTGCTGGGGACGAAGCTGAAGTGCTGGCTCCCCCTCCTGCATCCTTTCCCTGGTGCCCCGATGCCTCTGGGCTTTTCCAACAGACTCTCACTACATCCTGCTCATTAGAGAGTTGGGTTCGAGGTTATAGCAAATGTTAGAATATGATAAACTCACCAGGTTTAACCTGTCCTAGGTTTTACTCGTTGCTTAGATTCATGAAGCCCTTTATGGCTTCTGAAGGAGGTGGGACGCGCTAGGCAGCCCTGCTCAGGACTTCACTTTCTGCTCTTACCTGCTCAGTTATGATGAAACGGGCCCCAAGGGGAGTCTTTGGACCTTGACACCTGTGGTTCTGCAAATGAGTTTCCTTTCCTTGGGCCTCTGTGGCGGTTCATCTTTCGTTACAGCCTCGAATCAGGCGGGTCTGACTGTCCACAGCCCCGTGCAGGCTCAGGAGGCCCCTCTGAGTGGAAACGCAGCCTCCACTGGGTGGTCCAGTTCTGGCTGGAGGGTCAGCCTCTGTCAAGGCCCGGAGCTGACCCTCCCCCGCCCTGTGGGAGGCAAGAGAGCTTGCGAGAGTGACTGAGAAGGGAGAGCCGGGAACACTCTGTAGCCACCTTAAGCTCGTGACTCCCCAGGTGTCAGGAGTCCTGTGGGAGGCTGGTTTATGGGTTTCCAGGATGAGTCACAGCTCCGAGAACACTGCTCCGTGTGCAGGAAACACACCTGGGCAAAAGGCACAGGCGCTCTCCCGGCAGGTAGCCCGGCCCCTCTTTCGTTCCCGTGCTTCCTGCCTCTGGAGCTGCCAAGATCCTGAGCCCCACTTGCTGCTAGGGTTTCTATGCAGACCCTGGAACAACTTTTTAAAAACTCCCTATGCCAACATTAAAACAGAAACAAAACACAACCTAATGGATGGAAGAGAAGGAAGGAAGGAAGGAAAGAAGGAAGGAAGGAAGGAAGGAAGGAAGGAAGGAAGGAAGGAAGGAAGGAAGGAAGGAAGAAGGGAGAGAGAAGGAAAAGGAAGGAAGGAAGGAAGGAAGGAAGGAAGGAAGGAAGGAAGGAAGGAAGGAAGGAAGGGAAAGAAGGAGGGAAGGGAAGGAAGGAAGGAGGGAAGGAAGGAAGGAAGGAAGGAAGTAAGGAGGGAAGGGAAGGGAGGATGGAAGGAAGGAAGGCTACTCTGATAGCTTCCCTTCCAATTCAATATATTGACATTTTTTTTTAGAAATTTTCTTTTTTCTTTAAATATATTTTTTATTAATTTCAGAGAGGAAGGGAGAGGGAGAGAGAGATAGAAACATCAATGATGAGAGAGAATCATTGATCGGCTGCCTCCTGCACGCCCCCTACGGGAATGGAGCCTGCAACCCAGGCATGTGCCCTTGACCGGAATCGAACCCGGGAACTTCAGTCCACAGGCTGACACTCTATCCACTGAGCCAAACCAGCTAGGGCTATATTGACATTATTTGACCTACAGATAACATTGGGCTGGGCCTGGTCACTGACCCGTAAATTGCCCACTCAAAGAAAAGGACTGGTTAGATTTTCAAAGTGTTCTTTTTACAGTTTAGAAAGTCAACATTACGAAAAGTGGAGATGTCACCTTTAATCCCACCCCCCTCACAGCTGTATTTGTGTGTGGAAGCCTGAGTAGTCTTTTCTCACAGCGGATGTTTTTACAGTTATGTTGTACATACAATTCTGGTGGTGTGTCCTTCGCTTACTGTTAGATTGTAACCACTTATGTACATTTCTCCATTTCTTTATGATTATTTTAATATCTAATATTTAATCAAGTTGGCTATACCATAACTTTCCCCTTTTGTTGGACAGGCTATTTTCAAAAATATTTTTTTAACAGTTAAAAAATGATTGGCTCAGTGACTAACGTCAACCTATGAACCAGGAGGTCATGGTTCAATTCCCGGTCAGGGCACTTGCCCAGGTTGCAGGCTTGATTCCCATAGGGGGTGTGCAGGAGGCAGCCCATCAATGATTCTCTCATTGAGGTTTCTCTCTCCCTCTCCCTTCTTCTCTGAAATCAATAAAAAATATTTTTTAAATTGCTATAATAAACCGGTTTGTATTTAATGTTCTCCACCTTTGGGATTATTTCCTAAGGATGGATTCCCAGAAGTGAAATCACTGAGTCAAAGAGTTGAACCTTTTTATGACTTTTTTATTATTGTTACTATATTGTTAATATATTTTTATTGATTTCAGAGAGGAAGGGAGAGGGGGAGAGAGATAGAAACATCAATGATGAGAGAGAATCCTTGATTGGCTGCCTCCTACACGCCCCCTACTGGGGATCGAGCCCGCAACCCTGGCATGTGTCCTTGACTGGAATCGAACCTGGGACCCTTCAGTCCACAGGCTGACACTCTATCCACTGAGCCAAACCAGCCAGGGCTTTTTATGACTCTTGATTCTTAATATGGGACCTTTGGACTATGTGGTCACTAAAGTCCCCTGCAGCTCCCCCATCTGTCATTCCCTAAGCTCTGAGCTTACATTTTAAGTTTGCTCTTCCTCCGTGCTGCTTGCTGGCTCTTTCGTTTAGAAGATATCCCACCTCTAGTTTGTGAGTCACTCCAAAGTGGGCCTGGTTGCTGCCACCCAAGCACCTCCCTCAGTGCCTGAAACATGTATGCCTGGTCACACAGGCCCAACGTCTCCTATCTGAGTCTGAAATATAAGGTTTCTCCCCCCCCTCCCCATGTACGTTTCATTCTTTCCTTCTGAATAAATTAGAAACTGTCCTTAGTTGACACTCTTTCTGTCCTAACTTTAACTTATAGGAGCAGCAGGAGCAGTAAGTAGCCCAGAGCCCTCAGTGATGGTTAAACTGTAGCTCGCTGCCGAAACCGGTTTGGCTCAGTGGATAGAGCGTCGGCCTGCGGACTGAAAGTTCCCAGGTTCGATTCCGGTCAAGGGCATGTACCTGGGTTGCGGGCACATCCCCAGTGGGAGATGTGCAGGAGGCAGCTGATCGACGTTTCTCTCCCATCGATGTCTCTAACTATCTATCTCTCTCCCTTCCTCTCTGTAAAAAATCAATAAAATATATTTTTTTTAAACTGTAGCTCGCAAATGGCCCAAACAGCCTCAAAACCATTGCTTACACGGAGGGATGGCCTGGGGATGCCCAGAGAAGTTCTCTGAGGTTGAGCAAAAATGAGCAATAGGCTTAGGGGCACTGCCTGAGGGGCCCTGGGCGATAAAGGGGTGATGTGGTTCTTGTGCACGTCTCACCCTTCCCAAGCCCCAATTACTCGGGTCACGTCCCTTTTGTTGGTTTCCCATGTGCGTGGCAGCGCCAACCAATTAGTCATGAACAGACTCCGGGCGAACGGAAGTCCTTAATGAAGCGTGACCTGGTTCCGTCCTGTCTTCTCAACACCCTGAAAGCCCGATTGTCCTGTTCTGGTAACGGCCCCTGAGGGTTTTCTGGCCTCTCTCTGGCCCCAAGTCCCTGGAGCCGTGGTTTGTTTCACTGGCTTGGTGTCCGTATTGGCTCCCACCGAGCTGGGATGCCGGCCTCGAGGCCTGTCTGATGGTTGGCACCTGTCCTGCGATGAAGGTTCATGTGGCCCTTGTACTCTTGATATAATTAGTCTGTTGGCTTGTGGTCCTGCACGAAATTGTGAAGCAAAACCAGGCCATGTGGTGAGGACGTGGGGACTGCACTGTAGTCCCAGGGCTGCCACGGACCTGCAGCTGCTCAGGGGCTCTGAGCCTGCTAGGCCTCCTCTCCATAGGGGCAAGGATTCCTGCCTCACCTGGCGCCTCAAGGAACGCCATGGAGAGCAGGTGAGGGACATACGTGACAGCACTTCCTCACAGGGACGCCATGGAGAGCAGGTGAGGGACATACGTGAAAGCACTCTGTAGGCTGCGAGCATGTACTTAGCCTTAGATGAAAGTGTGGGAGGGCAATTCCTGCCCCGGTCAGTAATCCACCCCAGTGAGCCCTGGGGGCCCAGGTTGCCCCCACCACATGATGAGCACAGGGGAGGACGCTGTTCTGCCATTCTTGTTTCTTTATAAATATGTTTTTACTGATTTTAGACAGAGACGAAGAGAGAAGGATAGATAAAAACATCATTGATCATAAGACACTGGGGGGTAGGGGAGGCCAGGGGAATGTCAAGGGCGGGGGGAAAAGGGAGACATATGTAATACCCTTTGTAATACTTTAAGCAATAAAACAACTAAAAAAAAAAAAATCATTGTTGGGCTACCTCCTGCACGTCCTTTACTGGGGATTAAGCCTGCAACCCGGGCATGTGTCCTACCTGGGAATCAAACCAGTGACCTCTTGGTTCATGGGTGGATGCTCAACCACCGAGCTGCACCAGCTGCGCTGTTCTGCCATTCTTTTTTTTTTTTTTAATATATTTTATTGATTTTTTACAGAGAGGAAGGGAGAGGGATAGAGAGTTAGAAACATCGATGAGGGAGAAACATCGATTGGCTGCCTCCTGCACACTCCTTACTGGGGATGTGCCCACAACCAAGGTACATGCCCTTGACCGGAATCAAACCTGGGACCCTTGAGTCCGCAGGCTGACGCTCTATCCACTGAGCCAAACCGGTTTTGGCTGTTCTGCCATTCTTGATGGGACATTGTTACCTTCAAGTGGACGGAGCAGAACCAGTGATTTTTATAACTTCCCTCCATTGGGGGATCCTGGTTACCTGAGTGGTATCATGAACAGACTCAGGGCAATTTGAGCTGGCTTTAGAAATTAAACATCTTAATTAGAATAACCTCAGTTAAAAACAATGGGAGGGGACCGTTCCCCCCCCCCCCCCCACGGGAGTCTGTTCTGTGGGACTCTTCCCCCTCCCTATGTGGGAGTCTGTATTTGTTCTCCAATAAATTTCCACCTTTGCGATACCAAAAAACACCCCCCTTCCCCTTCCCCCCCCCCAAAAGAACACCCAACAACAACAATGGAGATGTGAAGGACTAGATTTTAGAGAGTGCGGCTGGAAACTGAATTTAGCTCCGAGCTTCCTGGCAGCCCGTAAACAAAGGGAAACCTGTTTGGATATATAGTGTCATCATTGGCTGAAAGCAAGCTCCCACGTGTAGGAGTCCCAGGTTCTAGCTATAGCTAGTCTTTTCCAGAGGAGGGACAATGGGACAGTGGTGAGGGCACGGAACTAGGAATTAGAAACCCTGAACCTTTCTTAGTTTTTGTGCCTCCACTGTCCCATCAGAAAAATGGGGGAATCGTTTCTTCCTCAAAGCGTGCCCTTTGGAGGAATAAATCCCACCTTCCCCAGCCTTCCATTCCGTTCTGTTCTCCCAGCTCCCTTCCTTGTCCCCAGCTTGAGGGTCCGCATCACTAAGCGGTCCCCTTGCGACGTGGGCGTGGGCGTGGGAATGTGCAGCAGCCAACCCTGGCCACCCCTGTCCTTCCAGGTGGACAGGTTCCTGTATCACATGCGGCTCTCCGACGACACCCTTCTGGACATCATGGCGCGGTTCCAGGCTGAGATGCAGAGGGGCCTGGGGAAGGACACCAACCCCACAGCCTCCGTGAAGATGCTGCCCACCTTTGTCAGGGCCATTCCGGACAGATCAGGTGAGGGGCTGGGGCTGCCAGGGATCTGAGGGGCTGGGTCCTTCCTGGCCGATGGACCTGAAGTTTGCTCCTGTGCCTTGACTTACCTCTTCAGCCCTCTCCACAGCACCCCCACCTCCGACGCTCTATGCTTAGTCACACTCAATACCCAAAGTTTTGAACCAAGGTTCAAACGTGCCTCACTTTCTCTCTGCCCCCTTAGCCCCACACACTCTGCTCCCTCTCCTGCCGGGACATCTCAGCATTCTTCCCCTGGTCGGTGGAGAGTTCCCTGCCTGCGTCTGGGAAGCACCCCCATGCTGGGCTCGGTGCCTGCCACCTGCTGCGAGTGCGAGTCTCCCCAGTGTCCTGAGCACCTCGCACAGTGCCTGGTGCGTACTGGGCCCCGAAATGTTTGTTGACTGCATATAAATGGCATTTCCTTCCTCAGAATTACTTCACTCCAAAGCATCGAGAGTCTAGGCTAATAGTAAGTATTAGAAGATGCCATGACGTAGAAGCAAGAATATTAAATGATGATATTCAAGAAACCTGGGTTCTAGGCCCAGCTCTGCCGTTCCTCAGTGACTATTGACAAAAGGTATAGACTCAGCTTCTCTATCTGTAAAATGAGGGAGGTGGCCTCTGTATAAATTTTCTGTTGCTGCTGTAATAAGTTACCACACATTTAACAGCTTGAAACAGCACAAATTTATCCTCTTTCAGCTGTGGAGGTCAGAGTGAGAGTGGGTCGCAAGGGCCATAATCAGGGTGTGGGAAGGGCTGAGTGCCCTCCGGGGCCCAGCGGGAGCCTGTCCCTTGCCTTCTCAGCTGCAGGAGGCTCCTGCATTCCCCGCTCCAGCCTCTCTCCACCTCCCAGCCAGCAGCGTAGCATCTTCCAATATGTCTCTGCCTCGCCCTTGCGCCTCTTCCTCCCTTAAAGACCCTGTGATTTACCTGATGCCCCTCAGATCATCCATGATCTCCCAACCTCGAGCTCAACCGATGAGCAACTTTGATTCTGTCTGCAACCTAAATCCCCTCTTGCCATGCTAACGTATCCACAGGATCCGGGGATTAGGTTGTGGGCCTCTCTTTGCTTACCACAGTCTAGAGACCTCTAGAAGGAATCTTTGAGGTTCCGTACACTCCTCCGTTCTCAGCCTCTGGGAAGCCATAGGAGGAAGGAGCTGGTGTCTGCCAGGCACCTCCTGTGGTCCTCACTGTCTCACACAGTCCCCACAAGAACCGTGGTCAGATGAGATACCGAGGACCAAAGGGGTTCCCCAGTGTCGGGGTCCCAGTGCTCCAACCAAGCTCCAGTGGGGGCTTTGGGCTCTTGAAGAAGCCGGGATTAAAGTTTAAGGGCCTTCCGGGCCTGTGATTGGATTAGCCAGGTTCTGGGCCCCTTTGGGACAATGCCTGGGTCAGAGTCGTTAGGCTCTGCCGTTTGAGGGGCCCTGGGAGCTGTGATGAGAGAGACCTGTTCCCTGGCAGGCGGGTGGGTGCGTAGGGTGGGCCGTGTACCGCCCGGAGGAGCATAAGCTTTGGAGAGAGACTGTGCTGCTTTGACATCTTGCCTGGTTCCTGGTACTTTTGCTCTGAGGGTGACGAGGGGACTGTGGTCCTTGACGGGTCACCCAGCTGCTCGGAGAAGCACCTGAGTCATGGGGTGTGTGTGTGGGGGAGGCACCAGGGCAAAGTCCCCCTGGCTTCCTGTGCTGGGCTCCTCCTGCAGAGGTGTGTCCCCAGAGGCATCAGAAAGTGGCCTTTGATGGTCTGGAGCCTGCGGCCGGATGTGCTTTCCAGAAGGTTTGGAAGTGAAACTGACCAAGTTTCAGACACCCCCTCCTCCTCAGGCCAGGAGACATACCTATGCTCTTCCCTGTCTCCTCAGAGCTCTCCTCACACAATAGCCCTTACCTGACCCTGCTCCAGGGGGTCCCTGCACCCAGAGGCCTGGGCAAGTCCACTGCACTCCTGTCCTCACCAACTTCAGGGTCATTGGGAGCAGATGAGGCAGGGGTGTTTCAAAGTCTCCAGAACGTTGTCCCAAGTCCCAGTAACTCTGTGAGCTGGTGGTGGCATTTCATGATTCCTCACCAACAAGCAGAACTCTGCTGATCCCTCAGGCCTGCATTTCAGAAATGTATAGAGTTTCCGGAGAAATCCCTCTGAGTGCTCCCACTGCAGGGCCTGCGCCTTTCAACCGAACCCACCCGAGACGGGTGGCCTGTGTGAGCTTTAGTTCCAGTGTTTCAGCCAGGGACCTGCAATGGGTGTTCTTACAAAAGTGCCTTAAAATTGTTGTTATTGCAACATGTCAGTTGACTAGCAATTTCCCTCTGTGTCTATTTCTTTTTTTTTAAAATATATTTTATTGATTTTTTACAGAGAGGAAGGGAGAGGGATAGAGAGTTAGAAACATCAATCAGCTGCCTCCTGCACACCTCCTACTGGGGATGTGCCCGCAACCAAGGTACATGCCCTTGACCGGAATCGAACCTGGGACCTTTCAGTCTGCAGGCCGACGCTCTATCCACTGAGCCAAACCGGTTAGGGCCTCTGTGTCTATTTCACAAGGAGTGAATCTGAATGGCCAGCTGGGGCCAGGGGCTACAGTCAGGGGTCAGATTTTCCCAGGCCGGGGGTCACATGGCACAAACAAGGCCACTTGGGGGCCTGGGTTTCTGGGCATGGCGTTTCACTTACGTGTGCCTTCGGCATACATCATGACACCTGCCGGGCACATGCGGCCACTTCTCAGGCGATTTTATAGAGAGGCTTGTTGGTTCAAAGGTTTGCACACCAGAGTTCTCATCCCACACCTGCGGCTGACGCTGAAGACACTGGCAGGGTCCTGGGCAGGACTTCTGTCTGGATCCCAAGGTGAAGTTGTTAAGAGGGGCTGTCATTTCTCCTTTTATTAATCGCATCTGCCTTGCGCTGGGCTGGGTGGTGTTATTTTCTCATTTTGAAGCAACTCTGGCCCCAAATATTGAGCATCCTTGGCCCTTGAGGGCCGTCATTTGGTCCCCGTCTCCCTTCCCTCCTGGAGCATTTTGCCTCTGCCCTTGAGACAGAGGCTTGTATGGGGCTGTTTCTCTTCCCTGCACTCGCCCTCCCTTCCCTCCAGGCCTTATCTAGAATAGGCCCCGCCCTCACGGCCCACCTCTCCTACCGCCTGCCTGAAGAGTGGGCAGGCCATGAGAGACTTGGGTCACCCCCCCCCCCCCCCCCCAGTTCTGCCCCTTAATGGGAGGGCTCAGGTCAGTGGCTGCACTTCTGCAGCCCCAGTGAGTGTGCACAGTGACACCCAGCTCACACCTGGGGTGGTTGTGAGACTCAGTGACATTTCTTACCCGTCCAACTTCTCATGCACATCTTGCCATGTAGCAGACCCTCCATATCTGAAACTTTTTTGTTTGTTTTTTAATAGAAAATGGGGAGTTTCTTTCCCTGGATCTTGGAGGATCTAAGTTTCGAGTGTTGAAGGTGCAAGTCTCTGAAGAGGGGAAACAAAAGGTCCAGATGGAGAGTCAGTTCTACCCAACACCCAATGAAATTATCCGCGGGAACGGCGAAGAGGTACGGCGCAGGGCTCTGTGGAGTGCAGGGACCTTGTCGGTGAGCGGCTGCGCTGTAGCCCAGGGCCCTGTGCTTTCTCTCCTCTGCAGCTGTTTGAATACGTGGCTGACTGTCTGGCAGATTTCATGAAGACCCAAGGGCTGACGCATAAGAAATTGCCCCTGGGCATGACCTTCTCTTTTCCCTGCTGGCAGACGAAATTGGAAGAGGTAAGGCCTGGCTGGGGAGGGGAGAAGCTGTGCAGGGTTTGGAGTTTGGGGCTGGAGAATGTGTAGGAGTCAGGTCGGGAACAGGGGGCATCGGCAGGAATTCTCTTGCTTGTTATTTCCTTTTTATTCCTGTAAACGATGAAGTGAAAATGTGAGACAGAGCACTGGTTAACGTGCTGCCTTGATTTTACACCCACGTGGGCACAGCACAGGAATGAGTGGTTTTCACCCGTAGCTCAGTGGTTCTCAGACCTCGGTTGCGTCAGAGTCTGCTGGAGGGCTTGTTAAACTTGGGTTCTGGGCCCCAGCGGGGCTTCTTAATCAGTGGGGCCTTAGACTTGCATTTCCAACAGGTTCCCATGTGATCAGGATGCTGAAGGTCTGAGATAAGAGGGGCAAGGCTCAGGGAATCTCTCACCTCTGCACCCTTAGGAGGAGGGTCGAGGTAGGGCCGCCGGGGTGACAACAGAGCAGACACCTACCCTGGGATGTGGTCTCAGCTGCGCCACTAGCCTGCTGAGGGCTCAGGCAATTCATCTCCATGTGCCTCCAATTTTCAATAGGGAGATGTCAAACCCAATTTTATGTTCATCTGTGAAAATAAATAAGGTCCATGTAAAAGGAGAATAAACTTTCTGGGGCCAGGGGTCACGGTCAAGAGTCAGGTCTTCCCGGGCCACACCTGTCTGGGGTGGGGGCCCATGATCCCCTGCGGGACATACCGGTCGTGACCCCAGCTGACCATCATTTCCTGGACCATCTAGATATCACAGACTGTCCATCCAGGGATTCGTTTGATATTGTTGACTCTGGGTGACGGAGGGTGGAAAGGAAATGGGTTTTCACGTCCCACAGACCTGGCTTTGAATCATTGTTTGGAAAGTTGTGTTGCCTGGGCCATTCGTGGCTTATTGAGCCCCTGGTGTTCTCATCTGTAAAACACGGTTCATGGTATTTACCTGCTGGGCCAGGTAAAGCCCAGACAAAACACCTGCAACGCCCAGCTCTGTGCCTGGTGCCCAGTGGTCGCTGCAGGTGAGGACGGCTGTCCCTGTGGGACTTTCTCTCCCCGAGTTGTACCTTGTCCCCATTTCTGCGATGCTTCTGGAGGGCGGCACTGTTTTGTGTTGTTCTTCCTCTCCGCCCCAGGCTCTGGCTCCGAGTCCTGGTTTACTCGGCGCCCGATCACTATCTGACAATTGAAAGGCGTCATCAGTCATT